AAGGCTTGGAGATGCAAACTGTCAGCTGGGACGATGGGAGCTCCGCGAGGAAGGCAGGACTTAGTTGCAGGCAGTGAGTGGGGAGTCATGGGAGGCCTCTGAGCAGGGGAGTGGCCTGGTTAGACACCGGCTTGAGGAGGTCCGTCTGGCCTCTAAGAGCCCAGCAAACCTGCCCCTGCCCCCAGGCCCCTGCAGGCTCCCCTCTGGCCTGGTCCACTCCCAGCAACGTCCCAGCCCCCAGGGCCTGCCCTTGCCTTCCTTCCTGCCCATCCTCCACACCTCACAGCAAAGTCCACCCTTCTACCTTCAAGAGGTGGATCTGTTGCAAGCGGGCCCCAGGGTGAGGAGCCCAACCTGGCACGCCCCCAGGCTCGGGCCAGGCCTGTCCCCAGACCTTCCCGCTGTGCCCTATTCCCGGAGCACAGCCCTCTGTTGCCAAGGCTGCGAGCACCTCCCTCCAAGGGGTTCACCCTGGGTCACAGCAGGCGAAAGGAAGGCCCCTGACTGCAGGGGCACTCCCTCTGGGACACCTGACACCGCCTGGGGCAGCCTAGCCCTTTTGAGCAGAACTTCCGGGACACCTCCCAACGCAGGCGCTCCATTGAATGAGTAGCTAACTGGTCCCTTCCTCCCCTCCCTGCCTGCGCACAGCACTCTTTACCAACACGTCTCTGCTCGGATGGGACATAATCCCCGGTGACCAACAAGGAGCTACGTCTGGGCCACATTCGGGGCCTCACTCTTACTGCTCAGGGTCCTCGGGCCTCAGAATCTCCTCTGTACAATGGGCAAGGCTCCCCAAACAATGGACCGATGGCACCCACGTCAGCACTGGCCTGTCTGCCCTGAGTCAGGGCTGCCGATGGGACCGGCACCTGTGTCCTTCCCCTCTCGGCCTCTCCTTCCTGCTCCCTCACCCTGGACGTGGTTACGTAAGAAACTACCAACCAACTGTGCTGAGGGGCCTTTCTGGACCCGATTCAGACACAACGAGGCACTTAGGAGGCATCAGAGACGGTTCACATGAGCGAGTAGGAGCAAGGGAAGTGGCTGTGGCTAAAAAGGGTGACCCAGGAGCCAGTGACCGTGCTGTGATCCTGGCATTGTGGGCAGGATAGAAAACGCACTTACTGCCGAACCGGTTTGGCTCAGTGGATAGAGCGTCGGCCTGCGGACTCGGGGGTCCCAGGTTCGGTTCCGGTCAAGGGCATGTACCTTGGTTGCGGGCACATCCCCACTGGGGGGCGTGCAGGAGGCAGCTGATCGATCTCTCTCATCGATGTTTCTGGCTCTCTATCCCTCTCCCTTCTTCTCTGTAAAAAATCAATAAAATATATTTTAAAAAAAACAAAAAAACAAAAAAACAAACAAAAAAAAAACACACTTACTTTTCAGAACTGGATACTGAAGTTTGTGGGGATAAATTGACAACATGTCCAGGGTTTGCTTCAGAAGACTTCAGTGAGGGAAAAGGGATGGATGAAGCAAGAGGAGCAGTCTCGAAAATTCTAGAGTCTGGGTGTCGAAGAGTTTGTTATATTGTTTTCTATCTATTTTTGTGTTTGGCAATTTTTCATAATTATAAAAAAGAACGAGGGGACTGTCTAGTACTGAAATGCAGTTTGCAAATCAGCAGCAGCGGCACCACCTGGGAGAAGAGTCGCCAGAATTAGCAAATAAAACTACGGGCTGCCCAGGGGTATTTGAATTTCACATAAACAACACATGTTACTTCTGGTCTGAGTACATCCCGTATGATACTTTACCTATACCGAGGACTTCTCTGTGCAAAGAGATTGGCAGTTTCTTATAAAAGGACACATGTTTGACGACCTAGTCCAGTGATGGCGAACCTTTTGAGCTCGGCGTGCCAGCATTTTGAAAAACCCTAACTTAACTCTGGTGCCGTGTCACATATAGAAATTTTTTGATCTTTGCAACCATAGTAAAACAAAGACATATATTTTTGATATTTATTTTATATATTTAAATGCCATTTAACAAAGAAAAATCAACCAAAAAAATGAGTTCGCGTGTCACCTCTGACACGAGTGTCACAGGTTCGCCATCACTGACCTCGTCGCTGCCCTCCTGGGCCTTTGTCCCACAGACCTGGAGACTGACTTATGGTCACACAGAAACCTGTAGGCGGATGTTTATAGCACCTTTATTCATAACAGCCCCAAACTGGAAACCATCCAGATGACCTTCAACGGGTAAATGGTTAAACAAACTGTGTTGCATTCACACCCCGAAAGGAATACTACTCAGCAATAAAAAAGAACGGGCGACTGATAACACGCAACAACTTGGATGGATCTTTTATGCTGAGTGAAAAAAAGCCAAGCCCAAAAGTTTCCATCCCATATGGCTCCATTCAGGTGACATTCTTACAATGACAAGAGCAGGGAAGTGGAGGACAGAGTGGCTGTGGGGGTCGAAGGTGAGAGTGGGAGCGAGGGAAGTGGCTGTGGCTGAGAAGGGCAGCCCGGGAGATTTGGGGATGCTGTCAGCATTCTGCATCTTGACCGCACCGATGTCGGTATCCTGGTGGTGAGACTGTACTCCAGTCTCACAAGATGTTACCAGTGGGGGGGAAGGGGTGCAGGGCACACCAAATCTGTTATTTCTTACTATTGCATGTGAATGTTCAATGATCTCAAAAACCTTTAATTAAAAAGAAAAAATAAACAAGAAGAAGGTATTTGGTGCTTCTCTGAGGCGCAGATTTGACTGGCATCTGCGTTTTCTCTGGCTGCTCTGGGCCTGCTGGGATGGACTCTCCGGCCCCACCGCAGAGCTACCGAGTCAGAATCGCGTCCAAGTGACACCCAGGTGTGAGCTCTGACTAGTCCAGCTCCTGCGGTGCCTGGGCTCCCGGGAGTCTGTGCCGGCAGCAAATACCATGTCTCCTCAGCCACTTATGTCACTGTCCCAAAAAGCCCAAAGGGAACTGACTGCACATTTTACTCGCAATCAGGCTGCACAGGACAACTGCATCTCAACCCTCCGAGTGGTGTCCCGCTGGACACACAATGGAGCCGGACTCCTGCCCTGGCCTCCAGGGTCATCACAGCCCAGCCCTGCTCCCCTCTCTGACCACCTCCCACTGCTCTTGCCATGTGACAACACACCTGTCTGTTTCTCAATCACCAAACCCATTCCCACCGCAGGGCCTCTGCATGTGCTGTGCATTCTACCCGAATCCCCTGCCTCTAGGGTTTCTAGTGGCTCTCTGCCCAAGTGCCACCTCCCCAGAAAGGCCTTCTCTGCTCCTCCTCTCTCACCTAGTCCCCTCGCCCCTCCCAGGTCACATTCCATCACATCAAACCAATTCATTTCTCATTGCAGTTATTAACACCTACCCATACTCAAAGCTTCATGCAAGTTGGAAACCATGACACTTCTGACAAAGTCCAAGTCATAAAAATCAGGAAAACACATTAATATGTAATTACTATTACATATTACTAATATGTAATTACTAATTATTAATTAGTAATTAATTATTAATTAGTAATAATTATATTACTTTGTTTGGTGGACAGAATCTTTTATTTTATTTTTTTATATATTTTTTATTGATTTCAGAGAGGAAGGGAGAGGGAGAGAGAGAAACATCAATAATGAGAATCACCGATCGGCTGCCTCCTGCACACCCCCTACTGGGGATCCAGCCCAAATCCCGGGAATCGAACCATGACCTCCTGGTTCATAGGCTGATGCTCAACCATTGAGCCATACTGGCCGGGCTGGACAGACTCTTTTAGAAGCACCCAGAACGTGGAAGAAATAAGTAGCCAAACAGGCCATGTCTGGGGGTCTGTCCAGCTCTAACCTTGACGTCTTTCCATAAATCCCATTGTACACTTGTTCCTCCCTAGCTTGAAAAATCCCCGGCATTCAAGGCCCTTCTCATCGGGCCCCGATGAACTTCCCCAGGGTATTTCCCTTCCTCCCCTAGACAGACTGTTCTATCTGTTCTGGCCAGACAGCGCTCTGCATTGTTCCCTGGACAGTCCACACAGTCCCCGCCCCATGCCTTTGCTTGTGCCATTCCCTTTGTCAATTATGCCCTCCCTATTTATTTGGATGAACAATTCCCGGGTAATTTGTTCAATCAATGAACATGTATGAGCACCAATTGTGTGCCCACAATGTGCTATATGGATAAAAAAAGTACTGGTTCTTCCCCCCCCCCCCCTATTCCAAGTACAGGAGGTCCCAGCAGAACACCTGGGTAGTGAGATTCCGATCGGTGATTTGTAAGTTCTGAAGTGCTCTGTCTGTTGTTTCTGACTGCTGGTGGCTTACGTGCGGGTGATCTCAGATTATGGACTCGCTGATCTGAATCTGTGGGACTCCTGTCCGCACTGAACTGTTTCCACCAGAGACCTTGTGTCTGTGTTTGCTGCGAACCAGAGGCCCTACCGACCCAGCATCGCTGAGACCCCTCGCAGGTCCCCGAAAAGATCTGCTATTGGGTGAATCTAGATGAAACTGCCACTTGGGGGTCCAACACTGTTCAATATCAGCAAATGCCGAAGGTCCAACCTCTACTGCCAACATCTGCCCTCAGGACAGGCCAGTTCTTTCTGTTCACTCACTGCTGTCCTCTCCTGCCTTAGGTTTTGGCTTAAGGTTGGTTTCCTTTACGGGGGAGAGGAAATGGCTTTGGAGATTTCCCAGATGTCGTGTGAGCCTGGCAATGCATTAAAAAGTATGTTTTATTCAGGAGTGAATTATTTTGCAGTGGGGTAGAGGGGAAATCCCAGGAATAGTTAGGCAACTGCTGAAATCCCAGGAGAGGTGTATTTTTCCCAATGAAGAAACGAAGGCTACGGAGGTGAAATGACTTATTCAAGGTCACACGGCTGGTAGCAGGCAGGTCTAGGGTTTGAACCCGTGCACCGCAGCAGAAAGCAGGCTCTTTCTACCTTCCCGCTGCCCTGAGCTGCCTCCGGAGAGCCTCCGGGCCTGGGTTCGCCAGGCGCCCTTACCTGGTGCAGGGGGATGACGAGGAAGGCCCCCCCTCCAGCACACTCGGTCACCACTGCGATGAAGTGGGGGTTCACGGCGCAGAAGTGATTGTCGTGGACGCTGCGGGTGATGGGCACCGAGTCGTAGCAGTTCTCCTTGCTGGCTGGTTTGCCAAAGACGTGGCGGAACTTGGAGCTCCGGTACTGGGGGTGCCATGACATCTGCAGGAGACAAACGGGGACAAGGAGTCTGAGGCTCACTGCCTGGGTAGCGGGGCGCACGGCGACCTCCCCTGGAGAACATAGAAGAGGGTACAACCAGGACAGGGATGTGCTGAACCCAGTGAACAGGCTGTATCTGTGGCTACTTCCGTGGACCTGGTGAGATGTAGCGAGACGATGTGTAATGACTGCTGACCAGTCTGCGTTTCATCCTTCCGAGTGTGAACACAGAAAGAGCAGAAAGACTGTAGAGAGACCTCAGCACATTCCCAATCCACCATCTCACCGGACAGGCCAGCCGCCCCGCCCCTCCCAGCCCAGCCAACTGGGTAACATTGTGCCCTCGGGAGCCAGCCAGCCTGCGCTTCAATTCCAGCTCTGCCTCTGGCCAGCGGGGCAGGCAAGTGACTTAACTTCTGAAGCCTCCGTCTTCTCATCCGTAAAACGGGGACGTCGAAAGCATCCCTCTCAGAGACTTGTCATGAGGATTAAATCAGAGGATACACTTAGATCCCTTGACCAGCAGTATAATTACGGCCACTATTCTCATCCCGGCATCCTGAGCTGGCCAGGCTTCTCACCCAGGCCTGCATCTGTTCACTCGATGTTTACTGAGCATCACTGAGTGACGAGACCTGTGCCCGGCCCGGGGGTTTCGGAAAGAGGTGGGCAAGGGGAGGGCCCACCCCCTCGGGAGCCACGGTAAAGAACCTGGGCTCAGAGGGCGATGGGAGCCGCTGCAGGACAGTGAGGCCAGGCTTCACTTTCGGGAGGAAGGAAGGGTGGGCCGGAGGAGAGGTGATGGTCACCTGGGCTGGGACAGGGCAGAGGGCGTGGAGAGGAGAGGACATGTTAGTGAAATGCCCAGGAGGGGGACCCACCGGCCCTGGCGTCTGCGTGCCCGTGGTGGGCTGTGGGGCCCGGGGCGAGTCATGGCGGCTGAAATCAACACGATCCGCTGGCCATCCAGTCCTAGCCCCTCCGGCCACTCCCAGAGCTCTCCCTCCACCGCCCAGAGCTCTCCCTCCACCGCCCAGAGCTTGGTCCCATGCCCGAGGGACGGCCCTGCCCAGGGTCAGGGAGCCTCAGAGGCCTGGGCAAGTGTCCCTGAGCTCACAGTCACCGGCACGGAAATAACAGTTCACAGTGGGGGGTGGTTGCTATGTGCCAGGGCCATTCCACGTGCTCCCCTGTCTGAACTGAGCAGGCAGGGCCACCTGGCTCCCCATCACAGGTGCAGGGGTGCAGCGAGACGCGAGGGCCCCGAGTTCACACAGTGTCAGTGGTGGAGCTGGTTGCTGAACCCACTGTCTGCAGCCTCCAGCCCAGGTTCCCGAAGATCATGCCCATGATGACAAAAGCTCTTTCACACCCACTGCACCCTGGACCCCACCTCAGCCCACGGCCATTCCCACCCCCACTTCACCCAAAGGAGAACAAGGCTCTGGAAATTAAGTTTACGGCCTCCAGAGAGGGGGCGGATGGCCTCACGGGTGAAGCCGGCTGGCCTCAGAGCAGCCTGAACACCAGTGACCTTCTGCCCCTGAACCCAGACTCCTTTCCCCACCCCACCCTACCCCACCCCACCCCACCTCACCCACCACCTTATCTTTACTGCCAAGGTTCGTCCAGACCTATTGCCATGGAGGGAAACATACAGAAACGGGGGATGGAGCAGCAACAAGCCTCTCCCTTTGCCCACGATATGGGAGTGTGCACCCATATATGCAAGTGAACTTTGAGCGACTCCGTGTGCACTGTGTGTGCAAGACTGTGCATGAGCACTGCATCCACCAGAGCGTTCATAAGGACCCATGCTCACTCCTGTGGTGTGCACGCATGTGTGTCAGTGCACGCATGAGCTTAAGGGCGCAGCAATTCAGAGAGCAGGCGTTTTATGTTCCCTACAAGCAGGCACTTGCTGGAAATGCAGACCGTAGCGGGCCCTCAGCCCTGCGAGGCCTCGCCCATGGGCTGGCCCAGAATGGCTGATCCCGGCCAGGTGTATGTGCCACCCGTCCTATCTTGCCCGGTCCCATCCGGCTGGGTCCACATCAATGCCACAGCAGGCTTTCTGAGGCGCGGCACAGAGCCGGGGTGGCATCTATTCTGTCCCATGCATGCTCAGTGCCCCTGAGGCCAAGGGATTAGGCTCTGTGGGCTGTGAATTCCCCGCCCCGCTCCCAAAGGAGTTAGTCATCTCTGGGTTAACATCCTATTGAGTTGATTTAGTGCCTGTCCCAGCCCTCGTCTCTCCTGGGCATCGGTGTCTCTATTTGGTGCAGGAGAAGCGACTTGACCAAGATCCTCCAAGTAGGAACAATGCAGGTGGGAAGCAGAAGCCAAATCCTGCCCGGAGGCCCCTCTTCCTGCCACATGCTCCTCTCTGACAGGTGAGAGACAGACAGACAGACACAGGGACTTTCCTGCCTGCCCCCAAAGGCCTGTCTTCCCAGCCCAGCCCTCCATCATCGCAGGACAAGCGTTCCCTCCAGGTGGCTGAAAGGAACCCAAACTGGGTGTGTACAAAGCAGCGTAAGAGATTATTCATTTAATTGCACTGTTCCCGGCCTCAGGGAAAGAATTCAATTACCTGATTTGGTCTTGGAACCTCTGGGATGGGTAGATGCCTGGTGCTGCCGGCTACCATTGTCCCTTTATAAGTTTGTGGTTCCACATCTGACATTTGGGAGTTTTATCTTATTTCTTTTTCTTAAAACCTGACCTTGTGGTCATGAACTAGCCCCGGACGTGCCTCCTGAGAGTCCGAACCACCACGTGTATGTCTGCGCCATTAACAGAGGGAGATTACAGCCACAAGTTTCCTGGCTTTAAAAAATTGCCCAGCCAGCGTGGCTCAGTGGTTGAGCGTCGACCTATGAACCAGGAGGTCACGGTTGGATTCCCAGTCAAGGCACATGCCCGGGCTGTGGGCTCGATCCCCAGTGAGGGGTATGCAGGAGGCAGCCGATCAATGATTCTCTCATCATTGATGTTTCAACCTCTCTCCCTCTCCCTTTCTCTCTGAAATCAATAAAAAAATATTTAAAAAAAAGAACATAAACAAATATTACTGTAAGAGCACAGAGCATTCTGCTTGAAGGTGACCCATAAAAGACCAAAAAGTAACATAATAAACACCTGGTTATGGGCGGGTCCCTCACCTTGACTCCAATCCTGACCAACTGTCCTCTGTCATAGGATTTATCCTTGGCCCCCACCTGGCCTAGGAAAGCTCCTTTCTAATTTACCCGGATCCACCAGAGAGGGGGCGGGACTCGGGACGGGGAGCCAAGGCCACCTGCAGCCAGTGAGAGGCTCCCTCAACCTGCAGCCCTCCCTTCCCTCCAGGCAGGAAGAGGACACGACTGCCTCTCCCCAGTGAGACCTTCATCCAGTCATTTCTGCTCACCCGAGCCAGGCCCTGTAGCTGCCACTTCTTGGCACAAGGTGTCCTTATTGCTGCCAGCGACAGGGTCGACGTGACAGGGTCTCACCCCCCCCCCCAACCCCGTTGGTTTTCGTTCCTCCTTCAAAGCAAGCAGAGGCCAGGAGCTGTACACAGAAGGAGGTGGCCCACTTTCCCGCTTTGCTGGGACGGGGATGGGGGTTCGGGGCTGGAGGACCGTCGGTGCTAAAGTCAGGAAAGTCCCAGGCAAAGGGGGACCAGTGGCTCCCCTTCCACCTACCACAGAAGTCTCCAGAACCTCTATCTGATTCACACGCAATGATTTTCCTTTAAGTCACCAGTAACCCTGACGCTGGCACCCTGCCCGTGAAAGAGACTCTAGGACTGACTTCTTTTTTTAAAAAAATATTTTTATTGCTTTCAGAGAGGAAGGGAGAGGGAGAGAGAGAGAGAGAGAAACATCAATGATGAGGGAGAATCATTGACCGGCTGCTTCTTGCATGTCCCACACTGGGGATCGAGCCTGCAACCCAGGCATGTGCCCTGACCAGTGACCTCCTGGTTCATAGGTCGACACTCAACCACTGAGCCACGCCGGCTGGGCTAGAACTAACTTCTCAAAGAGCCCAACATCCTGAACCAGAGAACAGATCATATCAAAGCAGAAAAGTGCAAGGTTTGTAAAGAGAGGCCACCAACCTTCACCCACCGCTGGCTTGTGCTTATTCTGTGCCAGGGCCTGGGGGGGGTGGGCAGGGGAGGGGGCCAGAGAGGATGGATTCAGTGACTGCTTTCCACACGTCTACACGGCCCAGGGGAAGGGCCAGAGAGGCCAGGGCCCGACAGGCTGTCTCCCTGCTCGAACTGGCTGCTAGGGCAGTGGGTGCTACTCTCAGGGCACGCGAGGCTCATGTACATCACCTCACTGGCTGGGGGCCCCAGGCGCTGGCTCTGTCCCTCACAGAGCCTCCCGCCACACCCGGCTTCTAAACTAACGTGAACATGAAATTAAATGTAACACCCAGCTGCTCAGCCGCACCGGCAGCATTTCAAGTGCCCGCAGCCACGGGCGGCGTGTGGGTATCTGATGAAAGTGTGGTGATAGGACACGTCCATCACACCTGTGTGACTGGGCAAGTTACTAAGAGTCTACTTCCTCACCAGTACAATCAGGTTGTAACAACAACAAAATAACAGCTAACCCTCACAGCAGTTCCATAAATACTGTCACCCCATTTCCCCAGAAGCGGACACTGGGGCGCAGAGAGGTTAAGTAACTTGCCCAAAGTCACAGAGCTAAGTAGGCACCTGAGCTGGAATTCAAAGCCGGCCTGTTTAGTCCCAGGTCCACACTTTCTCACGGGGCTGCCCTGGCCATTAGATGAGACAATCCACGCAGCAATGCCTGGTGAATGCTTGGCACTCAGCAAGTGTTGGCTGGCGAGACTGCTGTGGTCCCGATGCTTACAGGACGCTAAGACTCGATGTCGTGCCTGACAGGTCTGTGCTGAGGGCCCCACCTTTGGGGAATCTGAGCAAGGATCCCAAACCAGAAAGTGCAACGCAGCCCCGAGGCACTGTGGCCTGAGCCTGGTGCTGGCCACGCTGATGGAGGGAGCAGACAAGCACAGCGAAAGCCAACCATCCCTGCTGCTCAGGGAACCTGTGCATCTTCCTGGCAGGGCTCTCCGAGGGCAGGGCAGCTGAGCTCGGCCCTGTGCTGGGGGACAGGGGCCCTTGTGGGGGAAAGGGGGGTGGTATGGCCCCGCCTCGAATGCTGGGGATGGTTGAACAGGGGAAGCAGAGGCCCCTGCAGCCACCAAGTAGAAAACAGTGGTGTCTCCAGGTTCTCAGCCCAGCATCCTCCCGCCTCCCCCTCCCCCTCCCCCAGCCTCCGGTCCTTCTGGTCCAGCACAGATGCCCTGCACGGCCACAGGAAATACAGACGGAGTCAGAGAGCGAGCCAAGAAAATGCCTCTCTCCTCCTGATGAGATTAGGCCTGAGGGAGGCCTCCTCCTGACATCTGACGCTGCCCAGAGCCGTCCCTGGGCCCTGAGGGGCAGGGGCCTCCTAAGATGGCCCCCTCCCCGGCCCCAGGGTCCCACCTGCTCTCTACCCCTCCCCCAAGCTGGGCAGCCTTTCTCTTGGTGACTCTGGCCTGCCCCTCCCTGCCCCCACCCTGACCCTGTCTTCCCCTTAGGGCCCCCTCTGTCCTCAGGATAAAGCCCTGGGCTGGACTTGGGCTCCCCCCCCCGCCCCCCCCATTCCCCCACGGCCTTCTCTTCTCCACAGACCTGCACTTTGAACCAAACAGATTTATCTGCTCCCCCTGAAAGCATTGTGTTTTCCCAGCCCCCATCTTCGCTCACAGCCCTTCTCTCTGCCTCGAACCTCGTCAGCCCCCGAGTCCATGGGCACTGGGCTGGCCTCCCAGGACACCCCCTCCTCTCACAGCATCTTCCTGGGCCCAGGCCAAACAGAACCACCTCCTGGGGCCTCCCGGCTCCCAGGACCGACAATCTCTCTGCCTGTGAGGTCCCAGGGCAGGGGGAGAGGAGGGACCAGGTTCGAATCCTAGACCCACTTGTCTCTGCACCTCAGCACCTCATCTGTAAAAGGGTCCTAATAGCTCCCTCGCAGGTCCTGCCAGGGGCCACAGAGAGAATGGGTGTCAAACCCCTCGCACGCGTCTGGTGCGAAGGAGAAGCTCAGCTGGTGGATGCTCCCTCCTGTCCTGCTCCCTGTGATTCTTCCTTCTTTGACCTGTCGTCTGTCCTTCCGTCCATCTGTCCGTCCATCCATCCCCAATGGCCCTCCCCTTTGCTTTGCCCACCCACAGGCCAGATCCCATAGGCAGGCACTGGGGGGCTGGGGGGGAGACCATCTGGCCCCTGGATCGAGCTTTCACAGCACCACCAGCCCCTCCTGCCCCCTCTGGGCATGAGGACTGGGCTGAGCCTGTCCTTTCTTCGCAGGTGTGCTGGTCGGGCCAGGCGGGAGAGTCCTAATTCTGACACCATTCGTCCCATGACTCTGCACAAATCCTGTCCCATCTCAGGTGTTGACTTTCCACCCATAGACCGGCAATGCCCTGCCCCGCCCACGGGTTCGGATGATTCGCGAGGGCTCTGCAGCCTGCACATGCCAAACCCTGGGGCCGTGAGGGCGTGGAGCTGTCTGCCTGGCGCCTTCACCCTTGGGGGACACGGAACAGGGCTTCTCCTGTGTGTCCCCCCACATCAGGCCCTGGCCAAAACTCTGTGTAGACTTATTGCCCCACAGTCTCCTTATCTAGCAGTTTCCAGAGATAAGGTCACGTGGGGTGTTCGAAAGACACCCCCAGGAGACAGAAAACGTAGAGGCTCCACTTCCTGCTCCCCGCCCCATCCTTGGCAGAGTGTCTGATCTGTCTTTGGACAGTGCAGGATACTGAGGCCCAGAGAGGGAGGGTGCCTTGCTCAGGGTCCCCTTGAGCAGGAGACGGGGCTGAAGCTGGACCGCCTCCTGGGATGGGCGTCTGGCCAGGGCCTGCATTGTTGTTAGCAGGTCCCTGCCTCGGACCCAGGAATCAGCACACACCTGCCCTGCTGCTGGGCCCTCCCGGAGCCTGTCCTGCCCTGGGGCTGTGGTGCGGGGGGAGCGGTGAGGAGGCCGGAGGCCGACATGGAACCAGCAAGCTCAATTCAGGGCAAACAGGCTAAGCAGGCCGCAGCAGGGAGATGGAAATCTGGGGAGTTGGTGAGGGCTGCAGGGCCGATTTTTGAGCTAAACCTTAAGCTCAGAGTGAGTGAGCCCGGCACAGAGTGAAGGAAGGCACTCAGTCCAGGTGGAAGGCATAGCTCAGCCGCACCTCCACACCTGGCAGACGGTGGCTCAGGGCGAGCGCTGAGGCCAAGAGAGGGGAGTGCGGTGTGGGGTGGGGACGCCACAGGCACATTCAGGAAGCCACCAGGGTCTGGTTGGGCTGGGATCTGGGCGAATGCAGGGAGCAATGAGGGCCGTGGCTGGAGAGGGGGCTGGGCAGTTTGTGAGCAGTGGTGTGACCTGGTCAGAGCTGATGTGGGCTTAGCTGCAATTTGGAAGTTAGAACGTTTGCCCTGGGAAAGTACAGGGTGGGGCAACTGTATGTTTACAGTTGTTTGCAATGGAAAATAATGCAATAATTAATAAATTGTAATACAAGAATACTCTGTGTTTCCTGTACTCACAAGTGTAAACCAGCCTTGGCCCCACCCTATATCGTCTTTCTTAACTTTGGGCTTGTGTCTAAGGAAGAAATAAGTGGTTTTGTTTCACGGCCGGCTCCAGGAGGCTGGAGGGCTGCGGAGCAGGGGGAGGAGGGGGAAGAGTCTGAGGCCTTCCTGGTCTGGACTCTGGAGGAAAAGAGCCTCGCTGATTAGGGAGGAGTGTGCAGAGCCGGTGGATTTGGTGAGCAGGAGTCAGGGCCTGACCTGCCACCTCTACAGATCTTAGCTCTTCGAGCAACTGAGCCGGGAGGCCTGGCCTGCAGGCCAC